TAAAAAAAAAAACTTACCTCCTTTCTTCATCCGTTTGTTAAACACTTCATTTAGAAAAAAAGAAGAACAATTATTTTTTGATTTATCAAATTTTCTCTGCATCAGAAAATATTTGAACAGACTTAATATGTAATAATGCACAATAATTTATAAGCATTTATTTTCTTTAAGATATTTATTTTCGGAATTATTTTTAAGTATCATTTTTAAGTCAGACGATTTAATGATGAAATTTAAATACAAAAGTACAATCTCTTTCAAGGAGTACATTGTATATAAATTCTTGAGTATTCAACAGTAATGACAACTTTTACAATGATAGTATCGTACACTCTTTGATTCCGTGCAGCTACATTATGACATGGATATTGGAGCTTAAGTACAGATGAAATCGACAATCTTAAAAATAACAACTTAAGGTAGGATTTTTTTTCTGGTTTCTAACTACATGATAAAGAAAAAAGTACGCAAGCTCACATCCCCCACGCTCCCAAAAAAGTCGAAGTGCTGAAATTCCTAGAAAAATTAAAGGAATCGGAATTTATTGGTAATATGCACATCTACACATTGTGTCCTTAATATCTGCAAAGTTTGACGAAATTGTGTACAGCGATTTATGAGGAGTTGTGCTGACAAAAAACAGGACTGACTGACACACTGACTGACGGACGGGTAAAAAAAATCATACCTCACGCAACTTGTTGCATGGGGTATGAATATTCAATTTATATTTACATATCTCATATAATTAGATTTAAGAAATCTAAAATATCATGGTTTGGTTTTCTCATCACGATTGTACAACTTTAAAAAGATAGAAAAACTGATTTTAAAGTATAGCTGAACTATGGCGGAATAATGGCTTATGCAAATATATTACTTTTCTAGAACAGCGAATTTAATTATACATTGTTAATTTAGAATATAGAGTTTTTCAAATGTTAGTTAAATAAATAATAAGGGACTAAAGTTTTCAAATACATTGTATTTCGAATAAATATGATTTTCAAAAAAAAGTACAATTTTGTAAGCTTTTAAAAGCTCAAAATTAAAAGCTTTTAAAAACTTACAATTTAAGAACAGATACAAATATGTATGAACAAATATTTGTGTTTAAACCATCAAAACATTTTGTTTTTGTATCATTTTGTATCTATTTTGTAAACCATCAACACTTTTTGTTTTTGTATCATTTTGTATCTCTATATGAGATTCTTTATCATATGTGAAAATAAGACGAAATTAAATGTAGGACGCGTATAAAAATAACTATAGATCCTTTAAATTTAAGAAAAAAAGAGAAAATTTGGATTAGCAAAAATACATTCTTGTTAAACTGTTTATGTATCATCTTATAGACCTTATATGTAATGCATCACATATATTTTCTTTTTTCTTTCACAGTTTAACAATAACATGATTAAGAGTACACATGACCAAAATTTTTTTAATGAACTAAAGCCAAGCTCGTTGCAAAGCAACAAGTAGGTCTTCTCCTGGAGCTGCGAATAGGGCAAAGTGACCTTGAGTCAAGGTCATGCCACATTCTAAGGGTGTAAGCAATCTTTTAAAGTGTATCATTTTGCAATGTTTTAGTCAAAGAATGTACAGTTCTAATAATGGTGACTTGAGCTTGTACAAATGACCCTCCGTTAAGCCATGACACACTCTGCAACTGGTTATAAGCAAGCCCCATCCGTGACAAGTTCACATATATTCTTTCAAACTATTAATCTGAAAAATACTATCCATTGTGATCTTGAGTCACGTTATGGAATAGTGCAATGATCCACTCATATCAAAATATTATGATAGTATTAATAAATGATCCTCCTTGTTCTATTTAGGGTGTGTATTCTATTTCATAGGAAAAATCTTTTAAATGTTGCCCGTGTAGCACAGTGGTTAGAGCTTCTGCTCTAAGATTGATTGATTGATTGTATATTGTTTAACGTCCCTCTTGAGAATTTTTCACTCATATGGAGACGTCACCGTATGCCGGTGAAGGGCTTCAAATTTAGACCTATAGTCGGCACTCAGGGCCATTGATTCTGCTCTAAGAATCGCAAAGTAAGGATTTGATTGCGGGTTCGAATACTAATGTGGGACATGGAGAGTGGTCCTTTGGATGATACCGCTTAATCAAAGGTCCCGTGCCGTAGTAGGAGTTACCTCGAAACAGACCCATCACTGCTCATGAGTGTCAAGTATAGGACAAATTTTGCAGCTCTCCATTGGAAAGTGATGAAATTTCCATTTGTGTGATTACCTCTTAAGAGGGACATTAAATTGAAACCTTTTGACCTTGATCTTGGAGTTTGGCTTGCATTTGAGAAACGTCATCCTTAGTCTTGAGATGCCAATCGGGGGCATCAGTGTCTTGTTTTTGTATCATCCGTCCATAAGGAAAAGATTGGCGAAGCCTTTTGGCTATGTTGTAAAAGAAGAATCTTTGTTCAAATTCTTTTCTCGTAACAGCCAATTAAACATTGGTTGCAAAAAATTATTATGGTCAGTTATGGTTAACTTTCTTTTGATCCTCTTTCTCTGCTTATTTTCACAAGAGGCGTATAGACCATGCACCTTAGCATAATACAGCCCTGTTAAGGACAATGAAAAAACCCATGATTTACTTTTGGATTGGCATATAACAGCTATGTATACAACAGCCGAGAAAACATTTATTTATAACCAGTAGACATTTTTGATAAGACTGTGGTAACAATATACTAGTTTAGATGAATGACTCCCCCAAAATAGATAGGACAGGTTTTGAGTTTCCTGATTGAGAATGTGGTATATGTATTATACGAATTACTGTCCAATTATTTATTATTTCAAAAACTATTTTCATCTTTGAATAAATTTTGCAACTGTCTTTTGTCTCATACTTCAGATGAATTTAGCTTAAAATCTGAGACTTAAAAATTTTTCTAAAACAACAGATCCCTAAATGATAAACTAAATGTTTGTAATTTTAAAGTTTACCCTCTGGAAAAAAGGTCTTCATTTTGTAAATTTGAATGTTTCTCACAAATTAGATGAATTCATTTCATAAGCTACCTTTCGAAGATTTGGGTATATATAGTCTTTGTCGTGTCCAACCGTCTCTCTTATTGTCTGTTTTTTCCGCAAAACCTTAAAACCTTGCTCATAACTTTTAATTTAAGGGAGCTATTATTTTTGTTTTTCACATGTGTATTCCTTGTGACAGGGCCTTTCTTTGGATATCACCAAATTTGACATTTTGACCTTGACATTCGAGTTTGACATATTTTAAATCAAAAATTTCAAACTTTTACTTTGACCATAACTTTTGAACAGTAGACTTTCTTACTTCACATATGTATTTTTCGTGTCAAAACCTTTCATTGCATACCAACATCTTTGGCCTTTATATCTTGACCTTGGGGATTTATGTACATTATAACAAACTTTAACATCGATCTCGGATCAAAACTTTTGAACCGTAACGGTAAGGTCTTGGGCTTTCATACTTCACATATGTAATCGTCATGAGAAGACCTTTCATTAGATATCAAGAATTTTGACCTCCTAGATTTTGATGTTTGACCAACTTTTTAAAAACTTTAACTTTGGCCATAACTTTCGAAGGCTTAGGGCTACCCCTTTCATACTTTACATATATAATCCTTGTGACAAGACCTTTCTTTATAAACAACTTTTGACTCTTTGATCTCGATCCTGGAATCTGAATTATCTTTAAAAACATTTTGGACATAACTTTTGAACAGGTGGTGCTAGGGCTTTCATATTTCATAATTTTATATCTTATGAGAACACCTTACTTTGAGTGCAAATATATTTTATTTACATTTAAGAAAAGTTTAATCTTTGCTATGTTACCATACAGTTGGTTTTATGTATAGACATTGACATTTGTACAATGTAGGCATTTATGGTGAGAACCTCGTTAGATGTTAGAACTTGTGTTCAAACCATTACTTCATTATTTAAACTTATACAATAAAATATGTTCAAAGTATTAGTCATTGTACCAGGAATATTTCTGTATAATACTTCTAATCATTGTTTTTCAGATGAAAAATTCCAAAACATTATTTCTAAAATAACTGTAATATTGTAAGTTATTCTTTTCTAAAGCTAGTTGAGCACTTTTACTTCAAATAATCACCTTTATTGTTTTTATCTTCCAAATCATGGACTGAATGTCTCTATGTAGGGTTGATTTCCTTTGATTGCAATGGTTTTGACGGCAATTATCTTTGGAGAGATATCTCAATGACAAAGATATTTCTTTTCTTTCGAAATTAGTATTATTAATCAAACAACAAAGAATGAAATGTTTTAAAGCTAAAATGATGAGACAAAATTTTAGATAAATATTAAACATGTTATAATCCTAAAGTACTTAATGAAAATATTCAATTTTCAATCTATATTATAAAAATCAAGCCAATCTTTATTTGAATGAAAGTATTAATAACTTACTAAGATTTTGTTTAACTTAATGAATGAGGATGTTCCATAATTTAGAAATGTAAATGTATGCTCAAGGAGTTCCTAGCTTCAAAATTAATACTATGACAATGGTCTTTATAACATTCTGACTATAACAGTTGAAAAAGAAGTATACTAACCTGTGAAATATTTTGAAATCTTCTTTCGACAAAATACCAGGATAACAGCAAGTAATAGAAATAATAACAGAAATCCACAAATGCTAGATAAAGCGATGACTGCATCCTGGTCAATTTCAACACTGTTGGGGTGAGTTGACAACTGTGACCTAGAATTATTTTTTGAATGTAATAAAAGAAACTTCATGATGAAGTATAAAATTTATAATTACTGTTTTTTACAATATACAAATTGTACAACAGCATTGATTCGTGGAGAAAACGCTTTTAAATATTACTAAGCATATACAATACACAGAAACATTTAAAACAAAAGATTATAGATAAGCTAAACGATATTTCTTACTAATGGAAAATATATTTTTAAAACAATTTTTCTTACTGTACTAAACAGCCTGATTCTGCAATATAACATTTCTTCGATGTTTCAATCAAGGTGCAAAAAGGATCTGCAAAAATAACACCAATTGCATTATTTTATATAGTAAATAAAGTATAATGATGATTCATCAAAAGATTTTAAAAATTTAAAATTTCATATACAGAAATAATTATTTTGATCTTATTGCAAGAAAACTAACTTTCAGAAACGACATAAAAATGCGAAGCTTACATTTAAAAGACACGTCGCTGTAGTAGTAAGTCTGAGGACATCCAAAGCGGAATGATTGATTGCACGCATACTGATTCAATGTAGTGCTCTGAGCCAATTCCATACAGTTTCCTTTGTAAACAAAATTTTTAAATATATTTCAGTTAAGTATACCTTTCGTTTGTTAGTTTTTCAAATATATCGCCACACACTGAAATCTTAAAAAGTTTTTGTTAAATACCACTGGCGGATTTTTAGGGGGCAAGCCCCTCCTCCTTTTGTGCCCAAAATACATAAGATATAATCAATCATTTTTGGATTGTGGCTATGGGCCCTATCCTGACCCCAAACTCCCCCCTTTCAAATTCACTGGATTCGCCCCTGATTACCACTCTGGTAAGTGGTAAGTTACTTTATATTCATTAAAAATGTCAAGATTCCTTAAAACCAGATGAAATAGCAAGTTAGCAATCCCTTTATTGACCGGAGAAAAAAAAGAAATACATATCTACTATCTATAATCATTGAAGATACACACGAACAATACACAAATATTTCCATTTCTAATTTTTTTCTCTATAATAACCCTTTGAAAGTAGGCAGAGTTGATTTCCTGATAATTCTGCCGGAATGTAAATTAGGCAGGTCGATAGGTCAGCAGCTAAGGAGGCCTAATACGCATGCAAATCTCGTGCGCATCTGTCTCTGTGTCTGACGCTAAAGAGGCCATATATGCATGTAAATCTCGTGCGGCTGCCTTTGTGTTTGACGTCAGTGTGAAATTAGCACATAAGTCCTCGTGTAATTTAAATGGATTAGTCTACATTCTTAATGTCTAAGTCTACAATTTTATTTCACAATGAAATGGAAATATAAGGAATCACTGTCTAGTTTTGAGAGTATGCCAGGGACATCAACAATAGTGGGGAACATGGGATAATTTTAGCATAACGGGCTTCGCCCGTTATGCAAATTATCCCATGTTTCCCACTATTGTTGATGCCCTGGCATACTCTCAAAACTAGACAGTGATTCCTTAAGTATATCTTATTATAGATGTGGCAAACTGGGGCAACATGTCCAGACCTGGGTTAAAAATTTCGTGTCAACAGCCAGATCACCACAGGTATTTGGGGAGTACAGGATAGTTTCATGATCGTTGACTTTGGTGTCAGATGTAATGGTATTGACCTATGGCTATAGGAGGAGCTAAAAAGGAAAAAAGGTCAGAGATGTACTTCACAAAGATCAGACTATTAAGAAATGTCATCCGTACGGAAGTTCAAAACCTCTGAACACAATAGGAGGTTTTATGATATGATAGCTCTATGATAAACGTGATGACTTTAACTTTTCTATCGTCAACTTCCTTACTTATGTAGCGATATATCTTCATCACTTACAAACCGAGTTTATATATGTCAGTTGATTCGATACGCAAAAGCGATATGAACATTGACAAACAAGTTGATGAAACAAAATTATCAGTCTCGTTTATAGTCATCATTTCGTAAGTTCTATACTCGATACAATGACTTTGTCAGCAATGCAATTTATTATTGAGTTAAATGATGACTGACGTTTTTCATACTAATTGTTAGTCCATTATCTATACATTGAATTGACGACGGATTTTTCCCTTATTTCCCGATCATGAAAAGGAGCACACAGCTGGTGTGACCGGTCGGAAAGGGATGTTCACTCCTCCATGGCACCTGACCCCACCTCTGATATTTTGAGGTCAGTGTTTGCTCTGCTCCTATTTTGTATTGTTTTATTGACTTCGATATTGAATACTCTTCGTTTTCTCCATATCCTTAATTTATTGCAGATTTTGCTGTGGAAAATTAATTAGTGATTGCAGAAATCATTGTTATCCAAGGCAAAAGACAGAACATTTATACCCCCCGTGTGAAAATATATTCAATATGTACGTCCGTCCGTCCGTCTGTTACGCTTTGGGATATCATTTCTTGTCCGCAACTCATACCACTAAATTAAATTTTGATGAAACTTTAATAGAATCTTTATTACATATTCACATTGTGCACCACCTATTTTCTTTTTGATCCGACACATATTTTGGGTATCCCACAGCAAAACATTGACACTGCCATTATACTCATATGGGAGGCGGGGGTACCATTTAGAGAGCTCATTGATAACAGTACTCTAGATTTTACAAGTATGAGAAGTACTTTAAAGGTGTTTGAAAGCTGAGGAAATTTAAGTTGATTTACACATGTGGCACAATAATATAAGTCAGGAGGGTGCTATTCGTTATGAGGGAGATGATTGATGATTGTTGTGCTTTCCGACGAGTTTGCAATAGTTCAGCCGTATTTCAGTATGAATTTACTGTATGAACGGTTTTTAAAGTTTTTTGGGTTTCTCCGGCGGTCCCCAATGAGCCTACTCTTTTTCGAAAACCAGAGAAACGATGTATAACCTGCCAGGGGGCTTGTAATCCCTGATACAGGGCGCCGTTTTACGTTCCGTCCGACGGACTTGGAATTTAATATTAAAATAAAACAGTTAAATTGAAAAGTATAAACATTGTAATAAAATATATATATTTAATTTATTTTTTGTAAAAATCAGCTTTTTGCAAGTATTGTAAAATTGTATAAGGACATTTGTGAAAAGGCAATGCATTGTTTGCGTACCATTAAAAAGTTTATTTCGAATAGGCGTCAAATCAGACATTCTAAAAGTATATGGTTTATAGTAATTGTACAGTCACAAGTTCAGTAAATATAAATGGGTGAACTTTAAATGTCCGATTCTTATTCTTGAAATAATGACTTTATCCTAACGTTTCAGGCCGACGTCAGATAAATGATTAAATTTGTTTTGTATGGTATACTGTTTATCATTATCACAAAAATTCCAAAATGAAGAAGATTTAAGCGAAATTTAAGACCTACAGGATATGGAAGTCAATAAGCCAGTCGACGGTCCATCATCTTGGGTCAGCCCTATTGTTGTTACACCTAAGTCGTCAGGAAATATTCGTTAATGCGTTGACAAGAAGTAAGCTAATAAGGCCATAATAAGAGCATAACATCTAATACCTACCATTGGTGAGACTGTGTACGAGCTAAATGAAAGTTGTATTTTCAGCAATTTGGACCTTAAGAAGGTTTTCATAAATTAGAGCTTGCTGAAGAAATTTTGACATCACCACTTTTGTTATTTACCTTTGACAATTTCGTTATAAAAGACTTTGTTTTGGTGTTACTTCTGCACATGAAATATATCAGCACAACATCCAATAGGCACTCCAAGAATGTGACGGAGTTAGAAACATGTCGGACGACATCACTTTACATGCCCATGCATGTAAAATTTCCTAAAACTATAATATATGGGACACATCTTATTTGTCGAAGGAATCGACCCAACCAGAGAGAAAATGAAAGCTATAATAAAAATTATAGTCCGCCAACAACTGCATCAGATTTCAGAATTTCCTTTGACTGGTTATATAACGGTTTAATTTGTGGAAAGTTCAGTGTCAGAACCGTTGCGAATTTTGACGAGGAAAACTCAACCATTTACTGGAGGCTTTGAAAAACAAGAAACATTCAGGTAGCTGAAAACAAGTTTCATTTGAGAAATTAAGCAAGAACTCAAGTGATAGCAGATGCCAGCCAGTGGGGCTTGGTGCAGTGCTAGTACAGATACAAAAGGGAAAGTTCTATACGTATATTTTAATTTGCAAAGAAAACCTTGAAAGATGTCGAGGAAAGTTCCTTACTGACCGGAAAAGAGGCAATAACACTGGTTTGGGCATATTAATGCTTTTAGATGTATTTGGTCTGATGCTAATTTGATTTGCTAACAGACCACATCAAATAGGCTTCTACGGTTCATCTACAGTAAGAAATCAAACCCATTCTAGCATTCAACGATGGGTTCTGAGACTTCAACTTTTTCCAGTTCACAGTAAACTCTCGCCTGTGTATCTTTAAAGCAATTACACCTTCACCAAGTCAAATATCGTATTTCATAAGATTCGTAGCTCTGCAAGCAGTAACCAGAATGTTGATGATTCAGGGTGTGGAGAAAGTGTCTGCTAGAGATCTTGACGCATACAGAATTAAAGAAGCTTTACAAACTAGATACAGGACAGAATCACTGAGTGTGAGGAAAGCTACATAAAGTTGTCAAAACGAACTCTGCAGTATACGAAAAGTGATCCTCAGAGGTACACATATTGTGATTCTAACAAGTTTGATAGAGAGAAAGTATTAACCGCTCCTTATGAGGGACACAAGGTAATTACTTAAACGAAACAACTGATAGAGAAAATATGGTGGTAATTTGACAGTGATTTCGAACATGTTTGCAATAAATGTTACGCTTGTCAAGTAGTTGGAGATCCATCGTCACCTAAACCTTGACGCAGTAAAGTGCTTCAAGATGTTCCATGGCAAGCTACAGCAATCGATTTAATGAAAATCAGTACTTGTATTGGTGTATGTGGGCTTTTACAGCCTTTTTTAAAACATCTATTTGGAAGAACACAGGATCAGCCAAGATCTGGTGAAAACATTTGATCGTTAAGGCATTCCTGACCGTCTGACGAGTGACAGCAGAGAACAATTAATTTCCATCAGCAGAATTTGAGACATTTCTACAGGAATACATCACCCATGAAACATAAGACATCTTATTGGCTGCATGCTAATGGAGAGGTGAAGCAACAGAATAAGACGGTCACCTTATTAAAAACTATCAGGACAGCTCATGTTGAAGGAAAGGATTGGAGAAGGCAGTTGAGTTGTCAAAATTTCTAACAGTATCACACACAGTAACTGGAGTTGCACAGAACAAACTTATTTTCCGATTTCCAGTAAAGACAAAAATTCCCAGCCTCCCATTGAAAGAGAATGAAGCATTTTGTCACGGCTTTGCCACGAAAGCGGTTGTTGTTAAAGTACGCCAATAACTTTATTATGTAGATGATCACTGCTTTAAACAATACAAAGTTTGCTGAAAAAATAATTCTACGGTATAAATTGTGAGTGTTTAATTAACAATGATGCCATAAACAATACATTTATTCAAAAATTCATTTTACTTACTATCGGCAATATATCATGCCGATCGACCCCGTGTGTTTTTTT